CACGACGGAGGCAGATCCCTCTGAGCCCCCGAAGTGCCAAGCGTGGGGCAAGAGCTAAGGGCCACAGCTACTGTCGTTATCACTCTCCTTACCTGTGGTTAAAGGTCTGGAGCCCAACAGAGGCGGAGGCGAACACTATCGCTTTGCAAAAACTGGAGGTCTGGCCCAGGCACAAAGCAAAAATGCTTGAGACGCCAGAGCCAATGACCTGGAAGAAAGGGAAAATTGAACACCACAGCACGTTTTCTGTAAGGAAGAAAGCAATTCTTTCATGGACAAACTGTTCCCTTCTACAACGGCAAGAGCTCGTATGCACCAGGTGCTTCTCACGACTCTTTGTTCACCGGTGCCCTGCCCTTCTGTGTCAAAGGCCTGTCCAGAGGGATGTGATGCTGCGGAGCAGAGAGGATACGCTCCGCTCTCCTGCGGCATTTCTATTTCTGTTCATCCTTGTATTGCTATTTCCTCAGTATCTAAGGGGTCATTTGGAGGGACACTGTACGGTTGGCCTTTGCCTGTGAAAGAAAACCTCTTTGGAGCACTCAGAAATCTCCGTGCTCAACGTCACCGTTGGCCCACGCTCTGCTCCTCAGTCACGGTTTTTCCTCTGGATTTCATCTCCCACACGCACTGACCACCAGTCTATCTGCAAAGCTACAAACCCTTTCCTCTTTCCACCTACAGCCACCAACCCAGCTCCATACCAGGTCTGATCTGCCACGCCAGCAGAGCTCAGCAGGTAGCTCAAGTGTCACTCCTGTGGCTTCAGGTCTCTTACCTGCATGAACTTACGAACGGTGATGGTTTTGTACCCTGGAAGAGAAAGGAGAGTTGCAGTTACGCACAGCTCACCAGTCTCCTTCTGCAGGTGGCCAGATTTCATCTCCAGGTGGATATTGTGGCTGAGATCAAAGGGAGCCCCAAACACACAGATGGGATTTGGACCTTGGAGTATTTATCTTGCTTTCGTATCAGAACCTCACGTTGTCTATTTGCTGGGTCTTCTTCTCCCTACCAACGAGCCCACCTCCTCCCACCCAGCTCCTCATTCCCCATCACATGAAACAACAGCTGAGGAAAAGCCAAAAGAGCTCTTACCCTGGTTGATTAAATGATCAGAGAGAAATCCACTGAACAAGCTTGTAGGAATTGCGACGAGCCAGGGGACTACATTAAACACCCAGCCCTGAAAGGGAGCAAAAAAATCAAGAGAGGTTTGCTGTCAGAGCTGTTTGTTTGTTTATGTGATAGTCTGTGGTATCTGTAAAAAGGAAAAAAAAAAAAATGAAGCGACCGGGACTTCTTGCAGGATCTCTACCCCCTTTCCACAGTACGCTCTCAGCTCCACCCTGCACCACTCCAAAGTCTGTAAGGCGGCAGGGGCACCAGGGCTGTAGCTTTTGTAGGTTTGTTGTCTCTCCTTCCGCCCCGGTGACCCTGCATCCAGGGGAGAGGCAGAAATCTCTGTCTGCTCTGGGAAAGAGGGATTAAACGTGGCAAAGTTTGCTGTTCAGCAAGGTGATGTGGCAGAGAGCCACAGAGCCCTGGAAAGCGAGCTGTAGATTTCAGTCTGCCCTGTGGGTCATCCGTAAAGCTGCTGGCAAAATTTCCCACATCAGCTTCGACCTCATTAGCAGCGTTACTGTGAAGCTGAGGGAACATAGCTGGATTTTTCTAATGCCAGGATTAAGTAACATTATGGGTAGCAACATACTTTGGCCTATTTTCAATTAAGTGAGCTTGCTACAGTTGTAATCACAAATGATTACTGGTCATGTGGATTACAGCTGTTCAGAGGCATTTTGGTGCCCAGATCCCATGAGGAGCTGAAATCCATGCGGGCTGGGCTGGGCTTCATCTCAGCTGGTTGAACCTACTCATCCATCCATCATCCCCCGCGTCTCCCCCTTCGCTCAGAGCCCGTCACCCCGTGGAGGCATCCCTCCCTTCCTTGCCTGGCTTGAGGATGGGCGGGATTCTGATTAATCCCATTTCAGATGCTCCTGGAAATCGTACTAGGGTGATTCGTGTCTTTCAGTGCCTTTGAAACGCTGGGTCTTAGGTCACTTTTCAACAAGTTACCCCATAGGGCTGTGGGGTGGTGTCCCCAGTGCCTGGTCACACCAGCTGGGGTTGCTCAGCAGCTCAGTCCCAACACACTGAACCGCCCTTGTCTCATCCCTACGAAAACCTTCCGTCACCCCCACCCAGGTGGGCTGCAGGCAGCTGCTGGGGCGGCGGTGAAGGCCGCTCCCCTGCAGAAAGGGCCTTTAACCAGTAGGTGACATAGGTTTCCCACATTAAGGATTATCATCCATCCTTTAAAACCAAGCACCCTCAAGCCCCATTTTATTAAAATGCATGAAGCGATTATCAGATGCAGGAACGCTATCTAGAGCATCTTACATAAGGGCACCATGATATAATGCTTAACAGATGGTAAACTACTGCCGCACAGCACGTTACTCGAGGTGCACAGATCTTGTCACAACAATATGTTTGGTGGTTTAATACATGATTTTAATATAAATATCAAGTATGCCATAAAGCGCCTTACACATGTAATACGAAAAGGCATTTGTAAGCAGCTCTGGAAATGAGAAAAACCTAAAACAGAGCCGTTGTGGAAAAGATTGTCCGAGTTTCTGAGAACAAGATCAAAATACCAGCTCTCAGCCCAGATGAGCATTGCCCAGGTTTCTGAGAAATGGAAACATCATCTGTGCTGAGGAGAGGGAGGATTTTACAGAAGTAGGGAGGATTTTTGAAGCACACATTATTAATGGTAATTATCATTGTCGCAGGCAGGTCTGAGCTATACGATGTCAGTACAGGTAAAAGCCCTGTGAAAACCCAGGAGTGAACGGCAGTCATTCGCAACAGCATAATGCCACGAGCTCTGTAAAACCATCCTTTCCTCAGAAGAAAAGCAGTTTAAAAACCAAACATAGCCCTCTTTTCCCTGCCTGGAAGGTGCCCCCAGCTCTGCCTCACTTCAGCATCCCTAAACAAGCAACTGGAAACCAGCCTCTGCCTCCCGGGAGGGAGGCTGCTGGCATCTCCAAACGTACATGCAGGGGGGTGACAGCTCCTCACCCCACCGGGAAACCTCCCACCTCCTCCCGCCTCCCAGCCTGCTCCCACCAAACCCCTCTGCCGTCATCTTCCTCCCTAACCAACCCGTTTCGGCAGGTACCCAGCACGTCTCGCACGGAGCCCGGCAATGCCTGCCTCTCAGAGCCAACTTACCTTTGACCCCGGGAAAGTTTCCTTGAAGAAAGTTGGCAGCCAGGAGAGGAGAGTGAAAAACGTGCTGGCCGTAGAGAGCTGAGCGATGATGACAGCCCTGAAAAGACACAGCGGAGAGGAAATAATGAGGAGTGACAGGTCACACTGGGTGGGAAACGGGCACTCCAGTAACCCAATATTTCAGTTCCTGGTCTATAAATAAATCCCTCGCGGTGCTACGATTGCATCTTGAGATTTTTTTTTTTTTCAGAAATAACTACTCCTTTCGGCTTGCCACTTGCAGCACCGCTCGTTCCTTCACTGCCCTCATCGCCTGACGTCAGCCCCGGGGTTCAGGCGAGGTTAATTGCAGCGGCAATTGTGCGAGCGCGTTTCCCACCAGCCCCTCCGAGGGCTGCAAGCGCTGTCCTGCTCCAAGAGGTGTTGTTTAGGGTTTTCTAGGGATTTGTTATCAGCAGATGCTCCATGGTTATTCAAGGCAGGAACGGGCTTGGTGCCCTGCAGCCCCATCGCTCTCCTCCTCGCCTGTAAACACCACTTGGGAACATGCTTGGATGAGCTTCAGTACCAAGCGCAGCATCCCAAAGAAAAAACGGCTATTAAAAAGCTGTTTTGCCAGCAATGAGAACACAGCTTGTGCCACCCAGCGCCCCTGAGCAGCACTTCTTAGGAGCCCATTACAAGCAGCATTTCTAACAAGACTCGTGGAGAACTTCCCTCCGGAGGAGCACGAGCCTGGGAAGGAGAAAGATTTGCCAGTAACATTCAAGCCCGACATTCCTCCAGACAGAACATAAACCGCCTTTTGTCAAGCTTACCTTTTTAGTTCTTTATTTATAGGAAGGGATTAGAAAACCTGGTAATACTTCCCAATAAATAAGTGGACAAAACCACACAGGCAGAAGAAATAAGCACGGAGAGGAGAAAAAGCCCTTGGAAGGAGGGTGCCCCCCAGCCCTGCCGATGCTCGAGGCTGCCGCAGCTGCCTACCATATCGGTGCCTTCTTAAACAGCTGCTTCCAGGGAACTTTGGTCTGCTTGGATATCGAGAGGCCTCTCATTAAATAGTCTATGGGGATGATGAGTTCTGCAGGGGAGAAAAGATACAAAGGGAAGCTTTGATCAGTAATTTTCTGTGCAGCTGGAGGGAGCCCTGGGAAACGGCTATACAACTACCTTTAATCTCCTCCTAACCCTTGGTTTTTGGCTGTACCACCATTGAGTGCTCAGGAAAACACCTTGTTATGTCAACCAAAATTTTTCCACTGCACCCACACACCTCCTCATCCAGCCCCCTTCACCCATTTGTTTTATCTCTTGTCACAAGTACACAAAACCCCCTTGGGCAGAGACCAGGTCTGGATGTTGTGCAGCACCAGGCACACACCCGGCTCCTGATGAGCTGGGCTCCTACATACCACACTCGCACTAACAATGCTGTAGCCAGGTGTAATGGTTTGCCCATGTGTGTAATCACTCCCAGACAGTTATTTGGGAAGAGATATTCTGGATTAACTGGTTTTTAAAAGCTCTATGTGTAGATGCTCTTAGTTTGGAATAAGTATCTTGCCCTGCCTTAGCTTAATCCACTTTGAAGATCATGCTCTGCCTGGTGTTTTCACTGTTGCTTAAGAGTACTGAGGAGTCAGATCAGGCTCTCGACAGCAATACAATCCAGCGTGGGACTTGAAATAGGAATTCAGCAATGCAAGAGCTCAAAACCTTCTTTCTGGGTTTAGCATCTTGAGTGAGACACAGCGTGTATTACAGAAGATACCTGAACAAAAGGTCTTCGTGTAAAACCAGGCATGAGCTTGGAAACACAGAGGATTTGCAGAAAACAAGGGAGAGGCACCACTGGGGTCCCACAGCCTCGGGAGCCCGAGGGCGCAGGCGGCAGGACTGACCTTTCTCACTCAGGAGGTACTTGCAGGTGCAGTAAACCCAGAGCAAAGTGAGCAAACCGGAGAAGTAGAAAACGCTCTCCCAGCCGTACCAGTCCAGGAGGAGAGATCCTGCACCGCCGATCACCAGCGTCCTGCAAGGGAAACCACGCTCGGATCTCCAGGGCTGGCGAAGAGCGTGCGGGCTGCGCGCATCAACGGGAGACGCTTCTGGGGGTGGAGGCTGCGGGTCGCTAAAGGCCCTTAAAAAAGCCATCAGTCGCTGCGTCTGCAGGCACTGCCCGCCTGCCCAGTCACCCTGTGACTCTGCAACCTGCCCTGTTCCCTGTGTGGCACCTCAGGATCCTCAGCCAGGCAGGAGAAACCGCTAAGGGACCTCACGCTCGCCCGCCCCGCACTGAGACGTGTTTGTTGGGGAAAGAAAATGAGGCTGCTGGAGTGCGGCAAGTATCTCAGAGAGAGTACAAACCGCCAAAAGAAATTAGTGCACTGGAAAACTAAATGATTAAACACGGTAGTATTTCTATTTGGCTTTTAGGAAATTCTCATGGAGATTAGCAGAGTTTAGGAAGTTATATTATCCCCATCTATCAGAGAGGACAGGCGACCAGTCTCAGGCTGACCCTGGCTCTTCCTACTGGATCAGGCTGTTTCCCATAGTAATTAAACGTTGCAAACACTCTTCAAAGTCTGGCTTGAAAAGAAAGAAAAAAAAAAACCCATAAATCCTTCACACATGCACGACAGCAACTGCCTGAGGCTTCCTCAGCTGCAGCCGGTATCCTCAAGGACCCAGGAATCCACATGTACTTTGGGCTGGGAGTTTTGCCTCCAACTATTTAATGGCATTTCATCACATACGGTGTCCAGAGACTGTCACTCACTGCTCAAAGCCTTTTGAACTTACCCAAACTGTGAGCCGGTCCCCACTGTGCTGTAGGTGAAGGCTCGCTCGCTCTCCCGGACCTTCTGGGACAGCAGGCTGGCCAGGGACGGGAAATACACCCCTGCGAGCAACGGGAGCAAGGCAGGGAGCAGTCAGGCTCCCGTGCCCTCGTGAGCAAATCAAAAGCAAATCTAAAAGATCCAGCAGGAGCTAGACACTGAGACAAAGCAACAAAACCTTTGGTGAATTCAAAACAGGGATAGAAAATAAAATAAGTGAATCCGTCACCATGAAAGGTTTGTTTGTGCCTTCTCCGCAATCCCCTGTTTCATCATCACCGCTACTACTGTAAATCCATCCGTGCCAATGCACTTATCCCAACAGTTCCCCAGTGCTGCCGCTTGGCAAGAGGGAAGGGAAATCATCCCAAATTATCCAAAAGTTTTGGCAAGGACCAATTTTCCCCAAGCCCTTTGAAGGAGTTCTAAAACGTGGCAAATCAAACGGGAACAGTGATGATTTCCAAAGCCAGCAGCCCTTGTCTGGCAGAGAGATTTCTACAGGGGAAAGGTTTGACAGCGACTTTCTCTAGAAATGTCACTTTTTTTTTTTTTTTTTCCCATGGAAGTTCTGGATGTGGAGGCAGTTTTGAGGCAGAGAATGGCTCAAACACACGGGAGAAGGGTTCACGCACTGCAAAACACACGACTTGCATCTGAATTTACTGCACAGGAGCCCCCCTGCAAGGCAGCCCCTGGGCAGACAGACGCACAGACACGTGCTCAGGACAGGGGGTCTGGTCTCACCTTGCAGCAGCCCCATGAGGAACCTGGAGGAGGTCATAAACACGAGATGGGCAGAAGTGATGTGGGTGAGCAGCGGGGTGAGGACCGTGAGGAAGCCCCAGGCCGATGCCGAGAGCAGGAGGACTTTCTCACCTCCTATTCTGGAAGACAGAAAACACGTTATCAAAAACGAGGAGAGGGCGTAAGGGCAAAGTCCCCCAGTCAAGACTCAAGTGCTCTTCCCAGTTTAGCCTGTTTTTCAGAGCAACCATTCAGTCAAACCTGTTGTTCCCTTACAAATGTCTTTAGCCCTCCAGGGGGTAGCTCTGACCCTCTCCCTTCCCACCTCCTGCTCCCCTGGAGCAGGCAGCGAGCAGCTGGACACCGGCACTGCTCTCACTGGGACACTGGCCGCCAGCACTGCCCATCAGACTCCAGTACACACCAGCCCCACACTGGTGCTCTCAAGTCTCTGACGGAGGGGAAGCCCAAGCTGCTGTCAGCGTTCTGCTTTTCTTAACCAGCGACGGTGTTTTCTCTTCCATCTGTTCTTTTGTGTCGGCTCTGCCTGTTAATATTTGGGGTTTTGCAGGCATTTGCTTGCAAACTACCAAGGAACATAATTAAATCACATAGTGCACTGCATGGATAATGTACTCCTTCCAGGCATGTGTTCCTCACAAAAGATTTCCTAGGAAAGCCATCCTCACTAAGAATAGGGTGGTGGGGGAAAGGAACTCGAGCAGGTAAGTACTCAGCTCTTTCCTTACAGCTAGCTGGCGAGGTTGTTTTTTAATTGATGTGACAAAATGGAGACACTTGGTTTTTCCCAGACATGATGGAAACTCTGATGGGGGCTGGCTTGTGAAAAGATGGCATGAGAATATAGGGTGGCAAAACTGGAGGTGCTGAACTGAAAATGAAGATAGGCTGTGCAGATCAAACAGGAAAAAAAGCTGTATTGCTTGCAAAAAGGAAATATTTTTTTCTTGTGGCTAGTCATAGCAGCTAGAAACCCTTCCAAATGTCTCAGTGGCACTGCTGGGGTTAAGCTGTGTGTTAATGGACAAATAACACTCCGGTAAGCAGCAGCTATGAACAGTGCATGAGCATCAGCATTTATCACTTTTCTAAAATAAAGTCTGCTTTACACCCACTATTTCTTCACCAGCTTAACATAAGTTTGTGGCTTTGCTTTTTTTATTCCAATTACTGAACCAGTGCTAAAAACAACCTCCATCAGAAAAAGCAGGCTGGTATAAGTGCTCTTCACTGTTTTCACGTGAAAAAAAAACCCCTATGTTAGTCTAAGAGTCCACTAACATGAGTGTAGAGCTCTCCTGGCAGCTGCTCTGCAGGACCCATGGAGGCAGTCATGATCCTCTGGACACTCCCTGTGTTTGCTGGGGACTTCGCCTGTGCGAAGCCCTTCGGTGCTGCCCTGTAAGCACAGCAGCAATTTCAAGAAGCAGGAATCTAATGGGACAGTCAAAACTACACGTGTCCTTTCTGAATCAGAGCTACGGACCCTGAGCGAGGCTGAGGGAGAGACCTCAGCTGCTTTCGGAGCAAGCTGCAGCGCCCCACAAAGCTCCTCCCTGCGGACACGCTTCTCCCTTCCACCCCACCACTGTTCCAGGGTGAAACTTGGCACGGCCACTGTCAAGACTGGAGCTCAGAGGTCAAGACCGAGCTAAGTGCCATTAAAAAGGCCCGTGCAGAGGAAAACACGAGAATAATTTCCAGTACTGGTCACTGATATGTCCCCCGATGATCTGGGTCAAGCAGTAGCCCCAGAAGAAGCTGCTGAGCACCACGCCGGACTGCTTCTTGTCCCAGTCGAAGTGGGTGCTCAGGGCGACGGCGCAGATGGGCACGGTGACGCGGGCGCAGTACAGCAGGCACGTCCCCAGCAGCAACATCACCGTCCAGACGCGGGACTCGGGCCTGCAGGGATGGAGAGGAAGATGGGGAAGGGGCAGATGGAATGGTCTGCCTGGTAGATCCATGCACAGCGAGGACTTACAGGTCAGAGCGGTTTGCTCGCAAGCTGAGTCTGTCTTGATGAAATAAAAGCCAGCGCAATC